TCCTCGTCCTCGTCCTCGTCGTCCTCGTCGTCGTCGCGGTGGTGGCGGCGGCGGCGGCAGCGGCGGCGGCGGTGGCGGTGGTGGTGGTGGTGGGCGATTTCCGTTTTTGGCAATTACTTTTCTAGATATGGAAATGTCAACACCATGGTGGGTGTGTGATTTTTGTAGTCTGGTCATCACCAATTGCCAGGGCGGCAGGTTTAGAGCTTGCTTGATGTGACATTACACTGTGGAATTGCGCGATGCTGGTGATCAACCTTTACAGCTCAAGCCCAGAGGCGTGGTCTGGTGAGTGTAAGCAAAGGCGGTGCGCAGCAGAAGCACTGTTGCAGTGCTTGTCAAAAAGCTGGCCACGGACTGGGGACGTGCACCAGCGGCGCAGCACGGCTGATCCGGGCACTTCAAGCTCGCCGAGCTCAGAAAAAGGTGGCCGAGCTTTTGTGGATTTCCTTGAACACAAGGTTCGGACCTTCCCTCACACTAGCCCTGACCCGTTTTAAGATGTTGATCAAGCATCTTGGCTTTTTTGGACTGATGGGAAATGCCATACTGTCAGTCAGAGACCGGATAAACGGTAAAGCCCGGACCTGTTTTTAAGCCCTACACGAGCCCAAGAAAACTGAAAGCCATTCACCAAAGACTCCAGGTCCTGCTCGACCTCAATGTCCACGTCCACAAGGGAAGAGGCAAGATCCCCAAGCTCCTTGCCGTGATTCGGTTTGGCTTGGCATTTAAGGTTCAGGATTTGGTTGTTGAAATGCAGAACCATCCTTGTTCTTGAGCCTTCAGCCCAGATGACCACCGCAAAAACCGTGGCAATTTGTAGTACTTAGCGGCAGCTGCAGTAGCAGCAACAACAAAAATGATAATGATCAAGAAGCATCAATCCTTCTGGACCCAGGTTGAGATGCGTAAATTTGCGCAGGAGTTTGGAGGCTTCGCGGGGTCCCAGAACAGTCTGGAGTATCTCTGCACGTCTTTGAATGAACGAAAGTCACAGGGAGTCAGAGTTGCTGGAGCTTGGCGAGGATCAAACCAGAAAGCCCCGATGCCCCCTGGCAATTGCAAGCAATGTCCAAAACCGCTGCTACTTTAAACTTCAAATCTGGTGCAGCCGTACCTAGTCAAAAAGCCTGACCCTTTTAGCGCTACCCTGGTTCATATCTTCTCCATGATCACCGGGGCTGTCTGCCCTGGACCTCCAACCCCAGCTCCTCCCACAGACCAAAAGCTAATGCTTGCAGTACTAATGCCAAAATTTTGGCCTTTTGCTTTGAACAGTCAAGCTTAAGATCCAGTACGAGACGAGATCTTCCCGAGACTTGTAGAGCTCTCTCCCGTCCCTGACTCCTACAAAGCCCTGATGCTTAACTCCCTGATGCACTCCTCACGGATGGCCGTGGCCTGGGAGGTTTTGGCTCTTCTGTGGGACTTTGGGGAATACAGATCTCCCTGCGCACAGCCCTCCTGTTGAGCATGCTCACGCTTGCGGGACTTTTGTTGAAGCCATATCGCCATCCTCGATTACTCAGACAGGCTGATGGCTTGCAAGCGCAAAGCTCCATGTTTGGAACTCTTGGGTCGACAGTTCTCTACAGAAAACACACTCTTTCAGGCCCACCCATGGGAAGCCGTTGCGCCGTCCTTCCGTCTTACAACATGCAAGCCCCCTTTCTCCAAGGGGCTTTGCTTCTTGCGCACTCATCCTATTTGGAGATTACAAGGCGGGATCGTGCCCTTACTAAAGCGGATTCCAAGAACTAGAATACAACAAGAGACAATCACCTCGTCCAAAACGGCCCGATTCCTGGGCCCCGCACAATCTTGAGGGCATCATCTGTCCCCTAATATTAGGGTTTTATTGGGATGATGGAAAATAAAATGGAGACTACTATATTATACATAATACCCATTGGGGTAATATTAGCCTGTATAATGTGCCAAGTTGCATGGGCCAGAAGAAGCATCATGCCTCGCTCTGATGAGGACTTGGAAGTGTGAGGCAGGCATCCAGGGTGAAGATTGACTAGGACGCTTGTTGAGGTGGAGGGTTCTTGCTGCCTCAGGTTCTGTGTTTTGAAGCTTAGTGCCTCGCAGGGAAGAATTTGGGCCTTCAGCTTCTGACGTTAGCGGAGCAGTACGGGCTTGTGAAGTTAGTCTTGATGCAGTGGAGGTATCCTCACACCCTGCTGCTCAATATTTCTCAAACTTTCACAGAGACCGCTGTTGTTGAAAAAAGCCATATAATGTATACTCCATTGTAATCGTTTACATGTTCTTTTCCATTATCCTCATATAACCCTACCCTAATGTATAATTTAATATATACCCTTTTAGAAACTTCGTTCAGGATGCAGGTCTTCGGGCCTTGTAGCGCCTATCAAGATACTGCTGGCCCCATTTGCATCAAACAGCCCCTCTCGGTGCATAAACAAAGACAGGGTGCTGAAAAAAAAGTTGTTCGCAACTTCAGATGCGTTTGAAGGATTTAGGGTCTAGGGTTCGGTGGCTTCAGCTGCGAAGCCCTACAACCTGCTGTGAGAACCCAACCCGCGTGATGCAGGATCCAACTCAGGGTTTTGGTGAGTTATATCCTTAGGACCCGTCGGAATATGTATGAGGTGAGATCAGCTCCTGTGCTCTGCAGGGAATCCTCAATAAGGGACTCATGCTTCCTGAGATAATTATGGAGGGTTTTGGGTCGATCTACCACATGTCTGCTTGCCCTCTTGCACCTAACACAAGCAAGTGCCCCTCCTAAGACGCGCGCGGAAGATGTGATGTCGCAGCTTTACGTCAGCAATGCTGATGCAGCAACCTTCAACTGCGAAAAGTGCTGCTTCCCTCTCCCCGGAGGGATGCCTCATTGATGGTCCATCGGATCCCCTTCCAATATGACCCCAATGGGTGGTCTGACCATGACATTTCCGTTCACGAACGGACCTATTTTTCGGACAACCCCTCGGTCACATCATAATGCACTCAGCTGAGCGCGGCACTCATGATGCGAAGCATGTTTCCAATGAAGTGTAGACCTTTGCGGCAGTGACATGCTTTAAGGCTGAGAGTTCCAAGCTGTCTGTAAGGCTAAAGGGTTGGGGTCCAGCAAAAGCTGTGGGGTCCATGGCTAGGTCTGCAGGATGGGGGTTGCGTCCACTTCATGTCATTTCACAGGCACCCACCAGCACTCTCAAAACAACCCATGAAGCGGAGTCTCAAAAAGCCGCGCAGGTGGGAAACAGCTTCAAGCCACAGCCTCTCCCAAAAACTCAAGAAATGCCTACGTCAGAAGATGTCTGCACAACCCAGGAACCTCGGCGACACCCAAGCCCAAAATCAAAACTGCTTGATGAAGCCCTGGACAAGTGGAATGACGCTTCCACTGAAGCAATGGATCGGGTCTGGTCTGTACTCTGAAAATCCGGGGATCGGACAATCTTTGCAGACAATTTGTTGCACGTGTGGAGAAGCTTCTCTCGAGCCGAAAGAAGATCAGAGGCAAGGAAAGCACAGATTCACACTTTCATCTGCCTCTGAAACCCTTCGTCCTAGAGAAGAGACGCTGGCTGAATAGATGCTTCTCTCCTGGCATAAACCTGGTTTCTGGCCCAAACCAGGAAACACATACGGCGAACTTCGTGCTGAAGCAAGTTTAGTGGCCCAACCTCACGATCCCCATTCGCTGGGCTGCCCTGGTTGCTGGCTGAAGAAACAAATGCTCCCGCTAGCTGCTCAGCACCAGGGTGGGTTGATGAAAAGGTAGAATCACAAATTGTTTGCAAAGAGCTATGTCATACTCTGGCCAGGCAAGGAGTAACAAAGCAGAACTCACAGAGCCAGAACGAACCAGATTGCAGATGCTAGCTTATTCAGGAAACCCTTGCCAGAAAACTTGACCGGAAGACCTAATCTGAACATCTAATCCGTTGCGCACATTCTCAAGAGCAATCTCAATTCATGCACTGCCATCACCGCCTGCTTGGGACCTAGAAGTATGGCTCGCTTGTTTTTAGTAGGGAATGACGGAATAGATGGCAACTACCATATAGGTGGGAAGTATACAGGGGCCACTATACGGATCCAGTCCTCGCCATGCAAACCTAGCTGTTGAACTGCAACACACTTACCCATGCAACTGCTATCTAGAAGCCTGCGACCTCATTTTCACGAAAAGAGGCGGTTAGCCATCTGTACGAGACACTCCCTTTTGCATCGAAATTACGTTTCAAAGAGCCAAATTCAGCCGTAATGCACTGTACGTCATTGCGATAACTCACAACACAACAATCCTGCAGTGCAGCTGAATGAGTGTGTAAAATGACGAAAAAGGGGGATGTCTTTCATCGCATGCAAACGGGCCGGCCCCTATGCCACAGGGTCTATTGGGTCTAGCAGCAGGGAACTCTGCTGATGTCGCGTGATCCATTTGGTGGACCTCTGACTGAACATCATCCTTCTCTGGACTTTGGCTGTGCAAGCCTTTATCAATCTTACCTCCATGAATGAGGGGCGTGTGCCA